ACCAGTAAGAATAATAATCTCATATCATGTCTACGAATACCCCTTATATCGAAGGTAGTGTAACTGCTGCTCTTTTCAACGGCAAGAACCGAGATCCGTCAGAGCCGGCAAGGGCACATGCTGGGAAAATGTACCAATTGAAACTGAGCGCAGCCAGCGTAGGGGACAGAAGGAAGCCTTATAAAATAATTCGGAATTCGGCGCGGTCAGGAAGAACGAAAACCGAACCCATACGCACTGTAACTGGTAAGATGATACCTCAACATCGCAGCTCACCATGCTCGATGTTAAGGCCACTTTGAAGCCGACCTCAATCATCTACCTCCAAAAGCCTTACACCAATATGTGATATTGGAGCTAATTGGCAAAAAATACTCCTCCTCCTCTAAACCTCCCTCAACTGCGTACACAGAAGCTTTTATCAAGTCGCCGAGAAAAAATAAATAACCTGGTGAGAATGTTCTGTCAGCAGAGCTATACCAGAACAGCCCGCAAGAAATCGTCGACTGATTGCAGAAACTACCTTGCCATGTCTGGTCTGGACAGCACGTGCCACAAAACTGGAAATAATACGTCGCAGCTCCCATTCTTCAGAAAGGGTGACAAAATCCAGTCAGAATTACTATGGAATATGCCTGATTGACGTCGCTGGAAAAATCTTCACCACATTATGGCTCCGAAAGTTTCAAGTCACTTGTAGGGAACGTACAAGAGCAAATCAGGGCAGATTTCTGCGATGGAAGACGGAGCATCTACCAAATTCTGGAGTTACGCCTCATACTGGAAATCACCGTCTCAGCAGCCCACAACTAAATGCTATCTAATTTTTTCAACGGTGTTCGATCCAGGATCCCCCTGTGACGCATTATAGATATGTTGAGCGTACTTCAGAAGCATGTGAACATAACTAAGGCAGAGTACCGCAGCATACGGGCAAGATCCGCACGTACGGCGAAGAGACGAAGCTTCTGGCATTGTTTCTGGATTCCATCAGAATTGTGTTCTCTCCTCTGCTCCGTTCCGCTTCGCCATTAGCTGGATCATGCGAACAGCATTGCCAGGCTGCAGAATTTCGCCGAAGTTAGTCACAGTCACTATATCACTGATCTTGACTATGCTAAAGACCGTTACTATGTCACAGAAATAAAATATACCCTCGATCTAAGGGAATTTGAATTCAACGTACAAATTTTTCAATTTTGCAGCAGCTTGGAAAGCAGCAAAAAATCAAACTCTCGAAATGACTGGAAAAAATTTTTAAAGAATATGAATGCTGATTTACAATTTGAAGGGTTTGAAGTTAATGATTCTTACAGCGCAATAAGGAAGCTGACGATATGGAAATAGTAGAAAGTGCTATTTTGACTAGTGGTTGACCGATTCATGGTTTTGGGGACCAAACACAGTAAATGATTTAAAGCGTTTCGCCCACACGTTTTGCTATATATGTACAACGTAGTATCATCAGGGCTGGACACAAATGGCTGCTTAAGGGCCCTTATATCAGACAAGCGAACAGCACTATTGTTTCCTGATTGAAACATACTTAACAAACACATCGATCACTTGACAAACATAAAACCGGAATGTTAACTAACAAATGCGATATTAAGCTCACATTCAAAATCAAAATGCAATCGGATCCTTGCTATGCTGACACGATCTTGCTTGTCACATTCATGACTGCGTCCCAGTTTTCACTAATAACTACGGTGGAAGTGTGTTCTCTGCACATAAGGTATTTAATTGCCAGCATATTGCAAGGGCTCCTTTATTAGAACATATTTTGGAATGGTCCTTGTCTATGACAGTCACGTTGGTCTTGGTCTGGCTGAGTGACTTTCGGAGACGACATGCTGGGAAATATCAGGACTGTCAGCTTGTTAACGGCAAACCACAGATAGCTGCTCTTTGATGGGGATATTCACCTTCCGGTCGGTTCTTCCAGCGTACACCTTATCAAAGTCTCCGCACTGGACTCTGTATACAACAGTCAACGCTTCTTCAGAGTTAGTGGGCCTGTACTTCTTGAATAAAATATAATCCAATGTTCTGCCAGTCCTAAAGTAGTAGTAGACTCTAAACCCCATGTCATTATGGTACTTCTTGACACGTTGGAATACATGGGGTAAGAACCTTAAATTATCATTGATCTATATGGGCAAGGCCTCCTTACGTTCGAACTGAGGTGCAAAAGATTCTCGTCGAACACCCTCTTTTGGTAACCGTTCCTTAGAAAGGTTTGGTATGAATGCTGAATCTCCTCGTCTAGGCCGGAAGTGGTGTTACAGGTTTCCTGATTCGTAAACCCATACTCTTCACAATGTTCCAAAACAATTTGGGAGAAGCACATGACTTCGAGTTTCCAAGGCACAAAAACCTTAAATTTAAGCAAAGGTGTTCGCTTCACCAGAAAGGATGCAGACTGGTTCGCCTCAGCTTCAGTGGTAAAAAGTATTCGACCATTTAAATAATCCACGAAGCTTTCTAACCTTTTCTGTTTTTCCTTATTTCGTTGGAATAGTAGGAAAATGTCATAAACGAATCAGACAGAGACCGAAATTCTGGTCATTCACTAAGGTCATTTAGTACTCTGTCGCTAGTTACAGATAGAAAAATTGGATCATTACAGAACCAAAGCACCATAAACTTAATGTGACATATGTCGATAAGAATCATCCGAATGGACAGTATAACTAGCAAATATCTCCGCAACAGTTTGCAAGAGAAAGTTCGGTTAGGGGAATATGCCGGGGGCCTTGTGATATTTTTTACTTTATGTGAATGAATTGTGACTGTCAAGATTTTTGAATAATGTATTTTGTGTCGTAATATACTGAACTGTACTTCAGATACGACACAGAAAATCTAAACAACGCTAAACTAATGTCATCTACGAACGAAGCGAAAATAAATTCAATGTCGCCACTAAGACCGCCGTAAACGGGAAAAGTGGTGTGAAACATTGCAAATGGTGCCTATCCACGGAAAAACATATGTTCCCGTTCATATTCACACAAGAGACATGCATGGCGATTAGAACGAATTTGACACCTCAAGCTTTTGCCATGAA